GGGAGAGAATAGCGAGGCTTTGCTGTCGCCTGGGCTATTTGTGTGCCCGCAGCTGCTGCAGAGGGCGAGGACAGTGTTTCAGGAGTCACAGGGGTAGTGACAGTGGAAGGCTTAAAATTGGCAAAGGCAAGCTCCAACAGATTCCTACTGCCTTGCAGTTTGTGAGGTCTGGTCCTGGTTCAGGCATTGGGCACCTGTGGCCTTGGGTAAATCACTTTGTCTGTTTCAAAGGGTGGGTGAGTTTCTCTGGGAGGGTTCAGTAAGGGGAAGCTGAGAAATGCAGTACCACAGTTGAGGAAAATAGATATTTATTATAACACCTCTTTCCCCCCCTGTTAAAGTTTTTTACTTATATTTAGCCATGCTAAATGTGAGTTTTTCTTTTCAGTATACTCACTGCTTTGAAACAACACACTCTTCAGATTACAACAAGGGAAAGCATCAGAGAATAAAAAGTATGTGCACAGAACTACAACATAGTCTGTTGGATCTGTAGTGTAGCTAAAGAGAAGCTTCTGAATTACATTTGTGCTTAGAGATGACAGAATTGTTTTCTGTCATTTTCTCATTGTTGAGTTGTGCTCCTGTGCCACCACAGAACAGGTATTTCCAGTCATTCAGGGAGTGGTATTTGCATTTCAAGTGTTCTTGTCTAGCTAACCTCATCATGTTTATCCCCAAGGAGCTCTCACTCAAAATTGCCATTTCTTGCTCCTGAGTTTGAGCCTAACAAAACCTTGCTCTACAGAAAAGATTTCCCTCAGCTGCACTTTCTGGATATATTCTTACTATTTTGCACTTACTTCCTCAAGTTTTTTTGTGTTTATTCTTTTAGGATTTGAATGAGAACCTCACTGGTTTCCCTGAGTTGAAACCTCTTTCATTCAACTGAACTACTCAGTCCTGCTACACGGTAGACTGCAGGCCTCAATATGGCAGCATTTTTTTTGCTTGTGTTCCACATTCAGAGAAGGAACAAGAAGGATGCAGGAAAAGCAACAGAGATGGAGAGAAGTCTGCAGACTTCTGTCTTCAGAAAAAGAGGAGATCCGTCTGCTAGCAGTCCTACAAGGATATCCTTCAAGCAAAAAGACCTGTCACACATGAAACCCAAATATAGCATCATGTGAAAAATGTTCTTCCTGCTTTCTACGATGTCTTGTTTGTAACCTGTGTGTGTTTCTGTTGATTGCTTTGTGTGCAGAGATGACTGCAAGGCACCAGTCACCCTGCGCCTCGTCAGTCAAGACCAACTAACGCCTTACCTGCAAGAGCTTATTAGAACCAGCTAATAGGAGACACTAGACCTTGGCAATTAGGTGGGGTTTGGGGTATTTCACAATGACCCCACATCACTGAGTGCTCATTTTATTTTTCTCACTTAAAGCCATGGAAGAAGGATGCCCTCTCAGTTCATCTGGGATTTAAACTGATGCCTTCTAATATAACTTTTGTCTTAGCATGTATAAGGAACACGGGAAACAGGTCAGGTCATAACTGAGTCTGATGATCTGTGCGACACATCTATGGCATTCTGTCCTTTTTGGAGATGAATTTTAGAAATTCAATTCCAGTAATACAGACTTTCCTTTATGCTCATATCCCTTTGAAGAGAGGTGCTAAGCAGATGATGACACCTGAGAAGGACTTAATAGTGTTTTGTACCACTCAACAATGTTAGCATAAATCAGATTAATGCTGCAGACATCAGATCTTGTTCATTATTTGAAGGGCACTGACAACATAGTTTCAAAGTGATGTGATTTGCACCATGAGAGCAGGATGGTATTCTCCTCTCTGGATATATCTGTGTTTACGACAGCTATGCAGTTTTCATCTGCAACTACTCAGAATTGGTTGCAGCACTTGGATATTTGTCTGTAACATGAGTCATTCTAGAGATTTAAGATAAAGTTGTCTTCCATTCAGTTGTTATCTAATACCCACACTTCGAATGGGTTTCAATTGTCAAGAAGTTGTTTTACCAGTCTAATCTCCACTGGAGAAACTTTTCTGTTGCTTGTGAAACACTCTGAAATCCTTTGGCAACAGTGGAGGTAAAGGCTCATGCAATTAGATGTTTGCAAAACATTGGAGTACACAAAGTGAAACTAGCAAAGTGTTTCTGAACACCAAGACAAGCTCTCCTGGATGCACCTACCACTCAAGCGGTAAGCAAGAATAGTACCAGGCATGTTTCCCTGCACAGCAACCTTACACAGCTTCCTTGGCCCACTTCCCTTGTCCGCAGTGCTCAAAACAAAAAAATACAATCTGCTTATTCATGTTTTATTTGTTAGTAAACTTACTCAGCATAAATAATAAGAATAGCCATTCAGTATAGCTGGCATCTGATGAAAAGTGCTCTTGAATGGCCCCCCACGGTGCCTTTAAATAGCAGCCTACTTCCTTTGGGCTCCTGCAATGGCAGGCTTCTCTTCACGCGTGATAGGGATAGTGCGCTCAGGGACATCGCTTTGTTTCCTCGGTGCGCTCACCGTCAGGACACCATCCAGAGAGAGTGATGAGGTTATGGTCAGAGGGTCCACGTCATCTGGAATCCTGTATTTCCTGTTGAACTCCCTGGCAATAAAGCCATGCTCATCCTTCAAAAGGAGAAGAGAAGGAACAGCCCTGATTAGAAATGTTCACTCAGTTCCACCTAAACCATGGGCCCTTTGCATAAAGTCTGAGATCAGGAAGCTGCAGCTCTCAAAGGAAGACTTTCCAGAAAGTTAAAAGAGTTTTTATTATGAGATCGCCTTTTTAAAGAGCCAAGACCAGCTGAAGTGAGACGCTGCCCTGCCTAGGCTGCAGGTGCCTGCAGGTACACCCTTTACAGGAGGAGGCTTTATGTTCCAGCTCTTGTGCCAGCCAGAGACTGGCTTCATTGCACAGTGCTGTGCTGTCATTCCTAAGATGCAGCAGCTAGACCTACATGCAGTGCCAACCACGCCTGTTACTGAGCGTCTCCAGAGCTCTAGGCATACACAGCTTTCTAGTGAGCTGATCTCTGCTATAGTGCTCGATTATTTTCTTAGCCAAAAACAATTTGCAGAAGCTATGTCAGAATTACAGGCTTCTACCAGGTACAAGTAATGCTGTTATTTCCTGAGATCTGTGCTCCCAGAAGCTCTTAGAGCTGACAATTCCAGTGACATAGCTACTTTATCATGCGGATTCTTTTCCTTCTGGCAAGGATGGGGGGTGGGTGGGAAGGAGATGGGGACTGGCAAACCCTGTTACATACAGCTTTGGACATGGATTTTGACCTCTGTCTGCCCAGTTACCACACAGGTCTCCAGTGCCAGCAACAAGTGGGACGACTGACAGCAGAACACAGCCTTTAAGGATTACAGACTGATAGATGGGTCTTTTTCAGGAAGAGGTAGCCTCATGGTAACAGAACAGGGCAATGCACTGATTCATTATGTGATTTAATTATTACAGTTTGTTGTTAGCTTATTGAATGCCTCTTCCCAGAAAGAGAGAGGCCCAGAAATGCCCATTTCAAAGATGATTTTCCAGTTCAGTTCACAGTTCATGTAACATCAGCAATAAAACTCTACCCTGTTGCTGCCCAGTCTGGGATCAGCTGGAGGGGGGTTGCATGAAGCATCTTCCATTAGCATTGGTTGATAAGAAACATTAGAAGTATTTGAGATGAGCACAGGAAAGGATTGTTTTGCAGTCTCCTTGTTTAACCGTAGATGAGGAAGTTCACACTGACTCTATCAGTGGCACAGTTAAAGTAGAAGTACCTGGCGCTCCTCATGTTTCCCGTGAATTTCTATCATGTCCCCAAGCACCTTCACTTTTAGCTCCTCAGGGGAGAAATGCTTCACATCAAGATTTACAGAAAATTTGTCCTTCTCCAGTCGCATCTGCAAAACAAGGAGGTGACTTCAGAAAAGAGCAGGTGAGGGTTTCAGTGTAAAAAGGCTCTCGGAATATAGCAATTCAAGAGTCAAACTGGTATCTACACATGCACTGTCTGATCTTCATTTGATCCTGGGATTCTGATCTGGGTGGCTTGTCCCTTGCTGGCCATCACTACAGTATCTAAAACGTGAATGCTTTCTCTTGATCACGTGAGATAAATGTCTTCCTTGAGAGTGAGGAAGAGAATCTCTTAATCTGAATTTGCTAAAACTGACTCTTCAGTTGGCATACAGGTTTCACATCCAATTCTTTTTACAGAACGTCTGGAGGTTTCCAATTTCTGTGACTGGATTTTGCAAAACCTTTCAAGCAAAAGAAACCCTGACTGTGCAGCTGACTGCAGCTCACCTGCAGGCTTGCAGGCTTTCCCCTGCATCATCACTCTTTAGCAACCAAAATAACGGGTGAGCAGTACTGCCTCACTGCTCACATCTGTTATCTGAGCAGCAGGACTTCTGCCGAAACTTTGAGTCACCTGCTGCTAATCTCACCTCCTTTCCTTCCATATTGCACTTTATTGCCTCTAACAAATACTGCTTTTTGCTGCTTCCTGAGGTTGAATTTGCATTTTCTGCCTGTCTGAGGCATGTTTGTGGGACTTTGCTATATGAGCTGGCTGTCTCTGTCTTCCTGCTGTATTCGTGGTCAGGGGGCATGGGAGCATCCTGCAGCTCTGCTCTGGGATGTGGAGGCAGCCTCTGTGCCAGCTCTAGGCTTACTGGTTTCCGCAGTTTGACCTGGGAGTCTAAGTGCTTTCTCCTCCTTCTAGATTATTTGTGAAGATTTCTCCACTGAGATAGTCAGACGTTGTTATCTGTGGTGCTTATTATGGCTGCATCAGTGGACAGCCAGACCCAGGTCACTAAATCAAGGGAAACATTATGCAAAGATTAAAAAAATACTTTCCTCTCACTCCTTTGGCTTAGAATAGCTTAAATAAGACAGTTGACTCACAGAACAGGCAAGGTTGTTTGAACTGCATGCCTCTTGGCTCAGGCCCTGAAGCAAACAGATGGATGCTTCATGATCCTTTGGGTCCTGTATCTTACCTAAAATACTGCTCTCCTCAGCAGTGACTCTTTAAAATAGGCCCCTTTTTCCTCAGCAACCGTGAGCTCCCACATTGCCTGGCATGAGGATCCCACTATCCCTGCCCACTACCCCGTGCTGTTTGCATCTCAGAAGGGAGTGGGATTGAAAGTTTTGCAGAGCAGACAGGGAAATTAGGCTTCCTCCTTTTTTCCATCAGCTCTTGCAGTCATTTCCCGCACACACTCAGCTCAGTTTGCCTCTATTCCCAACACTATGGCAATACTTACTCTCAGTCACAAATGATTAGCAGAGCATGCAGATGTTCTTGCCTAATGCAGAGGAGCAGAGGCACAATCACAGCACCCTTTTCCCCAGCCTTTTCCTAATAACCACCTTCAAGCAGCTTCCAAGCTCTCGGCTTTCATGGGTATCCAGCTCCGGACCCATCAGGATGTGCACACAGCGATAACAAAGAGTATTAAGAAGGGAAGGTTACCTCAGAGAGTCCCGTCTCTAGCCAACTGGGCATCCGAAGAATGGGGGATCTCATCAGGAACGGACTGAGGCTGGGGGAAGCAGGGAGCAGCTCTGACTCCTGCAGGTGCTCTCCAAAAATCTGGTCAAAGATACGGCTCGGTGCCAACCAAGATAAGAGGGGTCTGCGAATCAGGGGGTTATGAATGGTGATATCCATTGGAGTGCGCCGGAGGAGCCTGGCAAACAACTGTACTGCAGTGCTGTGCCCGGAGCGGGGGACAGCTTTATACCCGTGCAGCTGGCCTGGCCTTCCCCCCCGCCTGAGGCCTCTTGAACAGTGGTGTCAGGGATTTTATTGTCCCACTCCTGGGCTGGTCCCTTCAGCGGTGCCCAGTAGCTGTCTCAGGGATTTGAACACGCTGCTGAGGAGGAGGGGGAAGGGGAGAAGAAGAAAAGGAGCCTAATGGGCCAGCAAGAAGCCAAACTGCCCAGCCGCCCGCCCTGCTCCCCACGTGCTGTTTATCTGCAGAGTCCCAGGCAGGCTTGGCGGATGTTCCCAGCTGCTTTGGATGCCAGCAGGATCAATGCAGCTCCTATCTTTGGCTCCCAGGGAAAATGACAAGGGGCCGTTGTTCCCACTGCCAGCACTGAGACTTCAGCTCCCCACATCACCCACCAGTCTAGGAAGAGACTAGAGAGTTCCTTTGCCTCCCCTTAAGGCAAAGGAAGCCACAGGCCTGCTTTAGTCAGAGGTCTGGAAAGATCCCAGGAGGTCTTTGCTGAGATACCCCCAGCAGCACGGCTCTCTGCAGCCCAGTAAGCCCCACTGCCTTAGTGCAGACCCACCGGTGTGCATGTGAATGAAGGATGGCTTTCTCCACAGCACTTCAGCCCAACACCTCTCATCCTTTGCCCACTGCAGAAACCACTTTGCTGGAGAGAGCAGAAAAGCCAGACACTCTGCAACCTCAGGGTATTCCAGAGGGCTGTGAGCCGAGATAAACCAGGCATGCCAATGGCCTCCATGGTGCTGCGCTGCAACATGCCTTCTCAGGGATGCAGGCTGCCTCTGTGTGCCCCTGAAGTAAGCTGATTTCCTGTAATTATGTTCCTAATACATCTTAATTCACACATTTATTTTAATTCCTGCCCTGCCTATGAACCTAAATCACAGGAATGGACTCAGCCTAGCAACTGTCCTTAAAGGGCAAGAGACAGTCTCTGCTTCTGAGAGCTCGCAACTTAAATGCAATTACTGTCTCTGAGGCACATCATTCTTACTGCTAGCACCACCAGACCCTTGCAAAAGGGTCTGACCCTCTTCCTCTCAGCTTGCCTGCAAGAATAGGGAGCAGAATTTGCTCTGTGCAAGCTCAGGCCATAAATTCACCATTACATCAACAGCAGTGCACCTGCTCTCTCATACTGCAGGGATATGGAGTCAAGTATGGTTTCAGGGTACAAGGAGATTAACTGGGCACTAATTTCCCCATGCCCCAGTTCAATAAAACTGGATCTATGCCAGCTTCATATCCCTGGCTAAATTGTGATCTCTGGCACGGGCATTTCTCCATGTTTCATTACATTGTGCCAAAGCCTTAGCCAGGGGACAGTCTGGGCAGCCAGCGCTTGCAGCAGCACAGTTCGGGATGTGGATCCTGTCTGCTTAACTACTTGCAGCACTTCACCACTCACAGGAACAAAAGGCTTGAGCCATCCACTCAGCTTCTCGGAAAATCAAGCTCCTTTGTGCAGGGAACAGGAGGGACTGATTTGGGCCCTAAGCTCACAGTGGGGTGATGGGTGTGATAGTGACTTCGCATGATTTTGCATGACCTGAGCAAGCACCAGCCAGCAGTAGCTACTGCCCCATCCCCACCGGGTGCTTCAAGGCCAGCAGACCCAGTGTCAGGGACTCCCTAAACCCGCTTGCAATGAGCCTTCTTGCTGGCCCTTGCCTTTGGGAGCACCACAGGCAGCAGACCCTGGGGTCTGTCCTGTTTTCTCCTACTTCAGTCTCCCTCAGCTCACCTCTGTGCCTCCACGCTGTATTTGGCTGCCTATTTGCCTCCTGTACCCTCTGCCCAAGGAGGGGATCTCAGAGGCTGGGAGGAGGAGCGGGATTTTCCCGAGGCGTTCCTGGCTGCGGGCAGTGCCTGCACTCCCTGCTGGAATGCAGTGAGAAGCTTCCCTCGTCACCCTGGCGAGGCATCCTGGGGCCTGTGCGCGTGGCTATTTTGGTCCAACTTTTTATCACACACTCCTCCCTGTGGAATTCGCCCAATTAAAACCTTGCAATCTGCAGCCTTCACTCTCAGAGGCAGTGAGGGCTTGGAAGGTCCCCTTCCCAGGCACACCATGGCTGCACGGACTGTCCCCCACGCCTACCCCATGAGTTCGGAGTACGAGTTTGCCAACCCTAGCAAGATCTACGACCAGAACTTTGGAGAAGGTAAGAAAGGAGATGGGATTTCTCCAGCACCTTTCTCTCCTCTGGTGCAGGAGGGCTGGTGGAGCCCCCCTGGGGAGACTGAGCTCCAGAGCAGGCCAGGGAAGTTGGAGCCAAGGAACTTTGAGCATAAGAACCCAGGGGGAATAGCCAGGGAACAGCCAGGGTCTCTCTGTTCAGGTCCACTTCCTCCATCCATGCCTACTGCTGTGTCTCCTGTCCCTCCCTCATGCCCCCAGTGGCC